GCTAGAAACCCTTTTCCAGAAGTTCTTTTGCTGCAAGGATACATAGCCATTATAAGAAAGACATGGACCTGCTCAAGCAGATCTCTTAGTGGGTTGAGGAGATGATGAGGGGCTGGAGCAACTGGTGTCCACCCAAAGGGAACACACCACCTAGAGGGGCTTGTGCCAGCAGCAAGGATAGACCTTCATTAATGTATCCAGGCCTGTGTTCTAGAAACAGAAAGGTTTGTGGGATGCACTGGAAGACCAAAGCATGCCAGTGGGTGGTAGAAGTGGGGAGATAAATGCTAAAAGAGGTATTGGTGCACTTTTTAACCCCAGTGATCTCTACAACCCTGGCTTATTGCTGAGTGAGACTGTAGAAGTCTTTGGAGAAGAAAAAAGGAGGAGTCATCTGAGGCTATGATGCAGAAAAACTTTACTGAGGATGAAGAATAAAAGGTCATGAGCATCCAGTAGAAAGGAGCAGGCTGAGGAGGAAGTAGGGTGACCATCAGCCAAGGTCCTTCGCTCTCAGGAGGTTTTTCCAGAGCACCAAGAACATTCTGCCCCACAGTGGGACCAATGCCCACCAGAGGGGACCAATGATGTCCGGCTTGGGAGAAGGGGTTTGCAGCAGAGGAGACTGAACAGAGCCAAAGGGGCAATGCAGAGCAGGGAGTGGGAGAATGGGAGGCAGATGGGCCATGTTTGCAGGCAGCCTGGGCTGGCCCCTTAGCAGATGTAGCCACCCCTCCTGCCATAGCAGCCCAGGCCTCCCAGGCCATAGCCAAACCCACGGCCATAGCCAAGGCCGTAGCCAAAGCCACCAAAGCCACCAAATCCGCCAGAGATGGGCTGTCCCTGCACATTGAGCTCAGTGCCCACGGCAGCCGAGGAGGTGGATCCGACGGCGGTGTTCTGGGGGAAGGAGGTCATGATGGGTCCTGGCAGGGTGACCAGCACAGGGGAAGGGTCGATGATGACGCGGGAATCCTGGCATTGCAGGGCACAGGGCTCGTTGCAGCTGTTGGCCAGCGGGGTGGGTCCACAGGGACTGCAGCGGTTGTAGCAGGCCATGGGTGTGGTGTGGAGGGTGCCTGGAAGAGAGGGGAGTGAGGGAGGGCAGGGGTATGGGCAGGGGTGCAGGATGGTGATGGAGTGTGGAGGCTGTTGTGAGGCTGTGGGGAGGCGTTAGGGCTCCTGCAGCTGGGGCAGAGCATGCTGGAAGAGAGGGTTCAGGGGTGCCAGAGCAGGAGGATCAGGGCTTTGAGGCTCACCTGATTTTCAGCAGGAGGAGAAGACTTGAGGAGAAGTGTGTGAGGGAGAGAGGTGCTGGCCTGGCTTTTATGCAGGTCCTGGAGGGGTGGGACAGCCTTGTCCCATGGCCTTGGGCATTTTGCAGGCAGCAGCTCTTGCCTGGGCCAGCTTAGGGAGTCATGAGGTGGGGAATGTTTTCTTTCATGTAGTTTTGCAATTCCATGTCCTTCTCTTGAAACCATTTCCACCTGACCTTGGAGGCAACTTCATTGCATTTGTATTTGGGTGGATTTGATTGTTCCATGTGAGTCAGGGAGGACTGAATAAACAACCAGAGCTCAGCAGAAATGCGATGTCATCAGTGAGGTAATTTTGTGGCACACATCCTGTGGTTTGTGGGTACCTTGTGAAGACTGGGACTCTGTTCTGTTCCACTGGATGTCCATCAGTCACTGTGTTGCACCCAGGAATGCTGAGGGAGCTGCTGATGTCCTGGGAAGGTCATTCTGCGAGAGCTTGGAAAGGTCCCAGGGCTTGGGAGTTCTTCCTGATGGATGAAAGCGACCCCATGCAGTTTTTTCTTGTTTAGGTTCAAGAGAAAGGATCTGGAAAATAAAGCCTTAATAGGTTGAACTTTGTTGTTCCAATGCTGCGGTCCATTTGGATTTCTCAACTTTACGTGGAAATATACTCTTTCCTTTTAAGTGTTCATTTAAGGTATTTCTTTATCTCTTTAAGAAATCCAATAAACAAGTAACCAATGATGCTTGATCAGGTTTTGCCCTGGCTGGTCTTTGATGTGAATTTGTTTATTTGGCATTCAAACCCTATGGTTTCACAACTTATATCCTGTCAGTTGTAACATTTTGTTGCTATTATGAAAAAGCACTAATTGCTACTGGGTGGTCACTGTGAGCCTATTTCCTCCTCTGTCATGGTGTGGGCGTGTCTTTGTGGAATTCTGTGATTCTGTGTCCTTCTCTACAGGCTGTGTCCATCTGACCTTCACAGCAGTTTTTAATTTTGAAGAGTAGAGGCCAAATATTGGTATTGGTATTGGAATATGGCATTATTGGCTTGTGTCAGGCACGTAGAAGACGACAACAAAGCCAACAAGAATTGGGGCGTTAGGAGTGAGGTCATGCCATGGAACACTCGCAACATCTCCTTTGTCCATTCTTCCCTTCTCACAAAAATAAACCTCGCACGTCTCCCATTTCTAATCACAAGGATTCTTTGATCCCCTCAACCTCTTGCTGTTCCTGCACTCTTCTTGCTTCACTAAGTCCATGTCTTTCTTTCACAATGAAGCCCAACTCATCACCCTAAGTCAGATATCCTTATCTCTGAGGAGAGAGGAAGTATCAATCTGCTAGAAACCCTTTTCCAGAAGTTCTTTTGCTGCAAGGATGCATGGCCATCTCTTGAACCTTTTGGTCTCTATTGGCATCCCTGTTTTGGTCCCTATTTTATTGTCACCTATTGGTGACAATAATGACATTCTCACATCTCCAATTAACCTCCAGCTATTCCAGCTGGCCACACTTCTTTCTATGCAGCCCAGGAAATGGCTGGTGACCTGTGCTGAAAATTCATGTTGCTGTTTCCTTTGAAGATTTTGGTCCACCAGACTCCCAGGTCATTCTCTGGTGGAACTGCTCTTGAGGATTCCCTCTCCAAAGATGTGCTCACATCTGGGACTGTCCCAACCCATGTGCAGGACCTTGAACTTGGAGTTGTTGAACCACAAGAGGTTCTTATGTTCTCAACATTCTCAGTGTCCCTCCTGCTGGCATCCCTCCATGTTCTTGTGTCAACTGCAACACTCAGCTTTGTGGCATCCACAAACATGCTGAGGGTGGTCTCAATCTCACTGCTCATCTCCTTGATAAAATATTCAAACTCACCAGTCCAAGGCAGGGGCCTGGAGACCTCATCACTGCTCTCCACCTGTACAGAGAGCCATTGACCATCACTCTCTGTCTGTTCCTCATCCATTCATTAGACCACCTTTGAAACCCACATACCTGCAATTTAGAGATAAAGATGTTATGTGGGACTGTGTAAAAGCCCTGACAGAAGTTCAGGATGACACCAGTTGCCCTTCCCTTGGCAACCAAAGCATTCCAGCAGGGAAGGACCTTCTGTTCCTGGTGGAGCATAAATGGATCTTGAGGTGACCATGTACCATTTATGGTAAAAAAAAATCCAGCAGTTACCAGGACAGGATTAGGAACAGAAATAAAGCAGACTGAGGGAGTTAAACATCCTGTTCCCCACCACAGGTGAGGCTGCATGGACACAAACATGGTCGACCAAGAGCAGTGCAGGCCCACCATGACACTGATGGGAGTGGAGGATCCTTGAGATGAGGAGAAGCTGAGAGAGCTGGGAGTTCTTCCAGGCAGGAGGCAAGAATGCAAATGGGACACGTTGTCAATATGCCATGGAATGACCTCACTGATGACACCTCAGTGCTTGTAAGCTTTGCTTGAATCTTCTACATATCCTGGCATGCACCATCAACAACAACACCTTGGTCTTTAATTCTTGCAACTAAAAAGTATCACCAAGGTCAGGTGGAGATGGCCTCAGGAGCAGAACGTGAAATTGCACAATTCCACAAAAGGAACAGCCAAACCATGCAAAGAAGGAAAGAGGAGCTTGCTGGGTGTCCATTACTAATTATTGGGTTTTGCTTACAGGAACAAAACATTAGGACTAATGATTATAAGTTATGACACCTTGTGGCTTGAATGTGGAATAAGTGAATTGATGTCACAGATCAGTTTGGGCAAGAAAGGGATCAAGCCTGGTTTGTTTTTATTTATGGGATTTCTTAATGAGGCCAAGGAATACACTTTAATTGACAGAGTACATGGTTGAGTAAATTTCAGAAATCCAAATGGACCATAACAATGGAACACGTTCAGCCTAAACACCCTCTCGTTTTCCAGGTTCTCCCTCTTGCTCACATTGAAGACACAAGAGAACAAAGAATATTTCAGAAATCAGGAGCAGCTCCCAGGCACCAGAACCTTTCCTAGATATTGCAGAGTGACCTCCCCAGGACATCAGCAGCTCCCTCAGCATTCCTGGGTGCAGCACAGTGACTGATGGACATCCAGAGGCACAGAACAGAATCCCAGTCTTCACAAGGCACCCACAAACCACAGAACATGAGTGCTACAAAATTACCTTGCTGATGACATCGCGTTTCTGCTGGGCTCTGGTTGTTTATTCAGCCCTCCCTGACACACATCTAACAATCAAATCCGCCCAAATGCCATCTCCTAAAGCTGCCGACAAGGTCAGATGGATATGGCCTCAAGAGCTGGATATGACACTGAAGTGTTGTGGGAATGAAAACACTCCACACCTCATGACTCACCAGGCCAGGCAAGACCTGTTGGCTGGTGAATGCCCCAAGGCCATAGGACAAGGATGTCCCACCCTTCCAGGAGCAGCATAAAAGCTGTCCCAGAGCCTCTCACACTCACACACTTCTCCTGACTCCTTCTCCTCCTGCTCCTGCTGACAACCAGGTGAGTCTCAAACCCCCAACCCTCCTGCTCCTGCACCTCTCACCTCACTCTTCCATCATGCTCAGCCCCAACCTTGGCTGCCCTCACGCCTCCCCACAGCCCCACAACAGCCGCCACACTCCCTCACCCTCTCCCATCACCATGCCTCGCACTCCCACACCCCTGCCCTGCCTCACTCCCCTCTCTCTTCCAGGCACCCTCCTCCACACCACACCCATGGCCTGCTACAATCGCTGCAGTCCCTGCGGACCCACCCCGCTGGCCAACAGCTGCAACGAGCCCTGTGCCCTGCAATGCCAGGATTCCCGCGTCATCATCGACCCTTCCCCTGTGCTGGTCACCCTGCCAGGACCCATCATGACCTCCTTCCCCCAGAGCACCGCCGTCGGATCCACCTCCTCGGCTGCCGTGGGCACTGAGCTCAGTGTGCAGGGACAGCCCATCTCTGGCGGATTTGGTGGCTTTGGCTATGGCCTTGGCTATGGCCGTGGATTTGGCTATGGGCTGGGAGGCCTGGGCTGCTATGGCAGAAGGGGCTATGGCTACAACTGCTAAGGGCCCTCAGCACCACCCCTGACACCAACCACCCACTCCCTGGAACACATCTCAGGCATTGAAGACACATCCCTGTGCCAAGTCTCTCAAATGGGCTCAGCATTTTCAGCTCCTGCTCTCAGGGCACCAGCCAGGCAGCAGCCAAGGGCCCAGCCCAGGCTGCCTGCAAACATGGCCCATCTGCCTCCTCCTCTTCCTCCATTCCCTGCTCTGCATCGCCCCTTTGTCTGTGGGCTGTCTCCTCTGCTGCAAACCCCTTCTCCCAAGCCAGGGACCATTGAGCACCTCTGCTGGGCTGCTCCTTCTGTAAGGCAGAAATTCTGACACAAACTCCTGCAAACAAAGCAGCTCAGCTGATGGTCACCCTACTTGCACCTCAGACCAGCTCCCTTCCTCTGGCTGCTCCTGAGTTTTCACTGTTCTACCTCAATAAAGTTTTCCTGCATCACAGCTTCAGATGAGTCCATCTTCTTTCTTCTCCCAAGATGCTTCCAATCCCTGCTCAGTTCTGTACCAGGGTTGTAGAGACCAGTGGGGTGGGTGAAAACATGCTCCAACACCTCTTTCATGTGTTACTTCCCCAGTTCTACTATCCACTGGCACACTTCGTTCTTCCAGCGCATTCCATCAAACCTTCAGCTACTGAATCACAGGCTTGGATACACCAATGGAGATCTATCCCTGCCTCTGACATAAGCCCCTCAACTTCCTCCAGGCTGTGTGTTCCCTTTGGCTGGACACCAACTAGGCTGACTCTCATCATCTTCCAGGCCTCCATCTGCTCAAGCAGGTCCCCGTCTTCCTTGTCTTTGTGGGCTCAGAGCTCAATGCAGAGTTCTGCTTTTAGGAGAGCAGAGGGTGAGATTCCCCCACTCTCTTGTGCTGCCCACGCTGTTGGGATGAGCCCAGGATACAGGAGGAGTTTCTGGTCAGTGAGTGCACGTGGCTGGGGCACATCCAAATCTTCATCCACCAACACCCAAAGTCCTCCTCTTTGGGGCTGCTCTCAATCCCCTCATCACCCATCCTGTATCCTGCATGTTTGGGACTGATGCCTTGTGAAGGCTGACCTAGAACAGAGACTACATGAAGTTAAAAAATAAAGTAGGGATTTATAGGAAAGCCTCAATGGACACACCTTGGGCAGCACAAGAACCCAGACAGGGCTACACCCAAGATAAACCCAAAATGGTCACAAAATGCATGACAGGTCACAGGGTCTCACACTTATAAAAGTTCTGGTCCATTTCCCTATTGGAGTTAATTGTCCAATTACAGCTTTAGCTTATGAAATCCCATCCGTCTTGTTTTTCTCTCTTCAGTCCACTATTGTTTATTCGCTTGGGCCTGAAATTTGGATTGGCTGTCCTTGGTCCCCAGCTAGAGAAGGAATTGTTTTGTCTTCTTGCTCTGTGAAGAGAGCTCACCATCCCCTTACGCGAAGCTCCAAAGTACACACTAAAGCAGTACAGAATCTGAAAAATACAAAAGCTAAAACCTCAGGCATCAGCTCCATTCCAGGTAAGGGAGATTCTGCCCCTCTGCTCTTCTCTGCTCACATTAGAGAACTCTCTTTATCTCTGGTTTACTGGGAATAAGAAAGACAAGACTCTGCTGGATAACATCCAGAGTATGACCTTGAGGATGATCTGGGGCTGAAGGTTTGGGACAGCCATTGGCCATGACATTGGGACATTTTTTCAGGCAACTTCTCTTCAAATCATAAAGTGGGAAGCACTTTGTTTCCCTCAGCTCTCCTGTATCATATCCAGCTATTGGGAATGTGTCTCTCTGACCTTGGCAGGCAGATTAAAAGGTGTCCACTGGCAGTCCATTAAAAAGTGGCATCTTTTAATGAGCTGGGATTGGTTCCAACCTTGTTGGATGAGGGGAGAGGGAACAGTATCATGTACCTGGGCTTGTGCACAGCATTTGTTCCTGTGCTAGAAAGCATCTGCACATTCACTCTGGAAAGATGTGGATTTGTGGTTGGACCATGTGGTGGATAAAGAATGGATGGGATGGTCTAACTCAAAGAGGACGTTGGAGAAAAGGGATGACTGGTGACAGGCAGAAGCTCCTATTTGTTGGGAAGGATGAAAGTTTGACAAGAAAATCTCACAGATATGTATGCTTAGCAGAAAGATTTTTAAATGTAGAGTTTGATGAAGGAATAGAGATGCAAGCAAGTTTTGATATAGAAGAAAAGAATTGTTGAGCTAGTTTTACTGGATTACTAAGGAGGCAAAGGGTATGTTAGTTAGAAGGGGTTTTTATTACTTAGAGCAAAGGATAAGCCCAACTCAAACAAGAAGACATTTTTACTAAGCAGAAAGATAGCACAACCAAACAAGTTAGCAAATGTTGCAAGCAGAAAAAAGGTCTCTGCATTTTTTACTGCAAGAAAACTGAAAAACAACTTCTAGCTTAAATTGTAATGTACTAACTTTTAGTGATTAGAGAATAGGAGCATGAATATGGTAATTATAGTAGTTATGATAGGCTATAGATAAAAGTTAAGGTATAGATTGGTTCTACTGTATTAAGATGTTCAGCAAAGAAAAGTACATAATGCATTGTAACTAAAACTAAAATGTCTTTCGGCTCGCTTACAGCTGGAGCTGACAGCTGCAGGCACAGGCTCTGTCACTCACGACTTTAGACTGATGTAATGTCTTGGATGTAATAAACTGCTTTTGAAGAACTGCCTGGAGTCCCACATCTCTCATTTAAGCTCTTACACCTATTGGGACCAGCATTATTTCCCATCTTTGTCAGGGATATGGATGGTGGGATTGAGTGGGATGTTCAGCAAAATCAGTGGCCAGAATAAGCTGAGTAGTGGGGTTGGTTGTCTGGAGGGAAGGGATGGCATCCAGAGAGGCTGGAACAGGTTGGGGCAGTGGGATATTGTCATTTTCATGAAGCTGAATGTGGCCAAGTTGCACTTGGTTTGGAGCAATGCCAAACAGGGCTGTAGACTGGACAATGCAGGGGTTGAGAGCAGCTCAGAGGAGAAGGACCTGGGATGTTGGTGGATGAAGAAATGAACATGCCCTGGCCATGAACATTCACAGACCAGAAACTCCTCATGTCCTGGGCTCATCCCCACATTGTGGGCAGTAGGTGAGAGGGGAATTTTGCCCCTCTGGTCTGCTCTTCTGAGACTGGAGATGTGTACTCAGAAGACATGGACATGCTTGAGCAGAGCTGTAGATGACCCTGGAAGATGATGATGATGAGGGTCTGCAGCAACTGGTGTCCAGCCAAAGTGTCCAGCCATACATGTCTTCTATCAGACACAGGGATGGATCTACATTCATGTATCCAGGCCTGGGATCAAGCAAGTGAAGGGTTTGTGGGATCCAAGGGAAGAGCAAAGTGTGCCAGTGTGTGCCCATGAAGGAAGAGGACACTTCACAATGTGCAATGCCAAAGAATTTTATTGAGGCATAAAGAACAGTGAAAGTCATGAGCAGTTAAGTGGAAGAGGCCCGGCTGAGGTACAAGGAGAGGAACCAACAACCAAGGCCCCTTGGCTTGCAGGTTTGGCCAGAGCATCAAGGACTTCCTGCCCACAGTGGGAGCAGCAGAATGGTGGAGATGCCCAATGGTCTCTGGATTGAGAGAAGGGGTTTGTCCAGAGGGGACTGGACAGAGCCAAAGGGCGATGCAGAGCAGGGAGCAGGAGAAGAGCAGGAGGCAAATGGGCCATGTTTGCAGGCAGTGTGGCCCACAGCCTTGCTTGGTAGCCTGAGAGAAGAAGCTGCTAAACACATTTGAGAGTCTTAGCACAGAGAGGCATCCTCAGGGCCTGAGATGAGTTCCAGGGAGTGGGTGGTTGGTGTCAGGGGTGGTGCTGAGGGCCCTTAGCAGTTGTAGCCATAGCCCCTTCTGCCATAGCAGCCCAGGCCGTAGCCATAGCCCTGCCCATAGCCGAATCCACAGCCATAGCCAAATCCACGGCCATAGCCAAGGCCGTAGCCAAAGCCACCAAAGCCACCAAATCCGCCAGAGATGGGCTGTCCCTGCACACTGAGCTCAGTGCCCACGGCAGCCGAGGAGGTGGATCCGACGGCGGTGCTCTGGGGGAAGGAGGTCATGATGGGTCCTGGCAGGGTGACCAGCACAGGGGAAGGGTTGATGATGACGCGGGAATCCTGGCATTGCAGGGCACAGGGCTCGTTGCAGCTGTTGGCCAGCGGGGTGGGTCCGCAGGGACTGCAGCGGTTGTAGCAGGCCATGGGTGTGGTGTGGAGGGTGCCTGGAAGAGAGAGGGTGAGGCAGGGTAGAGGCGTGGGGGGTGCAAGGAGCAAAGTGTCAGCAGGGTGAGGGAGTGTGGAGGCTGTTGTGGGGCTGTGTGGAGCCATGAGGGCTGCAGAGGCTGGGGCTGAGCATGCTGGAAGAGAGGGGCCAGGGGTGCAGGATCAGGAGGGTCAGGGGATTGAGACTCACCTGGTTGTTGGCAGGAGCAGGAGGAGAAGGCTTGAGGAGAAGTGTGTGAGGGACAGAGGCTCTGGGCTGGCTTTTATGCTGGTCCTGGAGGGGCGGGACAGCCTTGTCCCATGGCCTTGGGGCATTTTTGAGGCAGCAGCTCTTGGCTGGCCCAGCCTGGTGAGTCATGAGGTGTGGAGTATTTTCCTTCATGCACTTCTGCAATTCCATGTCCTGACCCTGAGGATGTGTCAATCTGACCTTGTTGGCAGCTTTTAATTGCAAGAATTAGTGACCTTTTTCTTGTTGCTGGTGCCTTTCAGGACATGTAGAAGATTCAAACAACCCTGAGGACAACTGATGTTTCATCGATGAGGACATGCCATGGAATAATGACATCATGTCCCATTTGCCTTCTTTCCTCCTGCTTGAAAGAGTCCTCAGCTCTGTCAACTTCTTGTTTAAAGGGTACTCCAGTCCCATTGGTCTCCTGACACTGCTCTGTGAACCATGTCCTTGTTGCACTCTGCAGCCCCATCAGTGGTACACGACAGTTGACCTCCTCATCTTCTTTGTGTTACTTTTCTTATTACGTATTTCCTGATTCTCTCCTGGTAATTGCTGGAGTTTTTTACATCAGAGGCTCCATGGCCGCCTCACAATCCATTTATGCTCCAGCAGGATCACAAGGTCAAATGCTATTTTTGGCAAGGAAATGGCAACCAGCGTCGCGTTCCTAGAATTCCACCAGGCCCTTAAACCAGCCCCACAGGACATCCTTATCTCTAAACTGCAGAAACATGAGTTTGAAGGGTTGACAAACCAACAGATGAGTAATTGTTCCCCTCATGCTTCTTCTTCTCATCCTCCACGAGGTTTCCTTTCCATGTGTCAGGCAGAGCCCAGCAATGGGACCCCACAGTGTGACCTTGCTGGGCCCAGCTGAGATGAGCGCTACGGATGAACCCACACAGGACTGTGAGGAGCACAGGACACCTCCCTAAGTCATGTGGATTGCTTTCCCATCTCCAATGGCAAAGGCCAGGAATATAGAGAAGCCTGGAAAGATGCAGCCAAGGTAGGGAGGAGGAGAACATGATCAAAGGTGCAGGTGCTCACCCCCAGAACACCTGCAAAGCTTAGAGCAGCCTAAAAAGGGGAGCTGGGGTTGTTTAGCCTGGAGAAAAGGGGACTCAGAGATTACCTTATCACTCTACAACTTCCTGAAGGGTGGTTGTAGTGAGGTGGGGGTTGGTCTCTTTCCCCACATTCTGACAGAATGAGACAACACAGTCTCAAGCTGCATCAAGGGAAATATAGGTTGGATATTAGCAAAATTTTTTCACTGAAAGAGTGATAAAGTACTGGAATGGCCTGTCTGGGGAGGTGGTGGAGTCATCATCCCTGGATGTGTTTAAAACAAGACTGGATGTGGCACTCAGTGCCATGGTTTAGTTGAGGAGTTAGGGCATGAGTTGGACTTGATGATCTTGAAGGTCTCTTCCAACCCAGTGATTCTGTGAATTCTGTGAATTCCGTGAATTCTGTGAAAAGCTCCATGAGGAAATGGGGTCCCTCTTCACCACACGCACATAAAACACAGCACACCAGTGCCATGGGGTGACCTCACTGATGACACTCCATCTCCACAAAGTTTTGGTCACGTCTTCAACCCATCTTGACATAAACCATCAAGACCAACATTTAACCTCTAATACTCACACTTAAAAGCTGCCGCCAAGGTCGGATGGACACAGCCTAAAGAGAAGGATGTAGAATGGCAGAGTCACACAGAGGAATGCCAGAACCATGACAGAGAAGGAAGGAGCAACTCAATAACTGTCCATTAGTAATTAGTCCTTTTTGCTAATAGGAACACAATATTACATTTACAGGATATAAGTTATGAAACTCTTTGACTTGAATGTAGAATAAATGAATTGACATTACGCACACCTGGGAAAAAGGGATGGGCCTGCATTTGTTGTTAGCTATTGGAATTCTAAATGAGATCAAGAAATATGCTTTGAATGATAGCATAGTTTGTTGGTTAAATTTTAGAAATCTAAATGGACAATAACATGGGAACAAGTGCAGCCTGAACAGCATCTACTTTCCAAGACCCTCTCCCAATCCCATTCAAGACACATGAAAAAGAGCCCACTTTCTTCCATCAGGAAGAACTCCCAGGCACTGGGACATTTCCAAGTTATCGCAGAGTGACCTTCCCAGGACATCAGCAGCTCCCTCAGCATTCCTGAGAGAAACACGGTGACTGATGGACATCCAGTGGCACCAAACAGAGTCCCAGTCTTCAAAAGGCACCCCCAAACCAGAGCACACAAGGCCCACTGATGACATTGCACCTCTGCTGGTCTCTGTTTGTTTATTCAACCCTTACAGACATATATCTAACAACCAAATCTACCTAAAGATCAACTCTGACTCTAAAGCTCCCTCCAAGGTCAGAGGGACAGAGACTCAAGGGCAGGATATGACACTGCAGAATTCAGTGATGGAGAACACTCCCCACCTCATGACACACCAGGCTGGGCCAGCCAAGAGCTGCTGCCTCAAAAATGCCCCAAGGCCATGGGACAGGGCTGTCCCGCCCCTCCAGGACCTGCATAAAAGCCGGCCCAGAGCCTCTCTGCCTCACACACTTCTCCTCAATCCTTCTCCTCCTGCTGCTGCCAAGAACCAGGTGAGCCTCAAGCCCCTGACCCTCCTGCTCCTGCACCCCTGGCCCCTCTCTTTCAACACACTCTGCTCCAGACTCTGCAGCCCTCATCCTTCCCCACAGCCCCACAACAGCCTCCCCACTCCCTCACCCTCCTGCATCACTGCCCCTCACACCCCCACACCCCTGCCCTGCCTCACCCCTCTCTCTTCCAGGCACCCTCCACACCACACCCATGGCCTGCTACAACCGCTGCAGTCCCTGCGGACCCACCCCGCTGGCCAACAGCTGCAACGAGCCCTGTGCCCTGCAATGCCAGGATTCCCGCGTCATCATCAACCCTTCCCCTGTGCTGGTCACCCTGCCAGGACCCATCATGACCTCCTTCCCCCAGAACACCGCCGTCGGATCCACCTCCTCCGCTGCTCTGGGCACTGAGCTCAATGCCCAGGGACAGCCCATCTCTGGCGGATTTGGTGGCTTTGGCTACGGCCTTGGCTATGGCCGTGGATTTGGCTATGGGCTGGGAGGCCTGGGCTGCTATGGCAGAAGGGGCGGCTACATCTGCTAAGGGCCCTCAGCACCACCCCTGACACCAACCACCCACTCCCTGGAACTCATCTCAGGCACTGAGGACACATCTCTGGGCCAAGGCTCTCAAATCAGCTCAGCACTTCCAGCTCCTGCTCTCAGGTCACCAAGCAAGGCAGCAGCCAAAGGGCCAGCCTGGGCTGCCTGCAAACATGGCCCGTCTTCCTCCTCATCTTCTGCCTCTCTGTGCTCTACATTGCACCTTCAGCTCTGTCCAGAGCTGTAAACCCCTTTTCTCCCAAGCCAGAGACAATTGGGCACCTCCATTGGGCTGCTCCCACTGTGGGACAGGATGGCCTTGGTGCTCTGACTGAACCGCCTGCAAGCCAAGGAGCTTGGCTGATGGTCACCCTCCTTGCACCCCCTACTTGCCCTTCTCTTTTCCAGTGGATCCTAACAACCTTCCACTGTTCTTTTAGCTCAATAAAGTTCTCTTACATTACAGCCTCAGATGTCTCCTTTCCTTCGCTGACACACACAGCCACACTTTGCCTTTCTGGTGCATTTCAGACTTCCCTTGCTTGTTCCCAGGCCTGGATACACGAATGCAGGTCTATCCCTGTCTCTAATAGAAGCTGTGTATGGGTCTTGTTTTCACTTTGGCTGGACACCAGTTGCTCCAGACCATCATCATCTTCCAGGGTCATCTACAGCTCTGCTTCAGCAGGCCTGTATCTTTCATATCCTTGGGTGCCCAGGGTTGAACACACATCTCCAGTCTCTGAAGAGCTGAGCAGAGGGTCAGAATCTCCCCTCACCTGCTGTCCACGCTGTGGTGATGAGCCCAGGGCACGGGGAATTTTGGTCTGTGAGTGCACATGGCCAGGGCATGTCCAATTCTTCATCCACCAACACCCCAAGTCCTCCTCCAGCATGCTCTCAACCAACTCATGACCTCTCTATTACCCATTTCCGAGATTGCTACGTGTCTGAGGGGACAACACTGCCCAGCTCATTATTTAGGATGCTGAACACAGTTGGGCCCATGGATCCAACTCCTGGGCTGCAGTATTGGGGATTCACCTCCATTTGCACTTTGGGCCACTGGTCAGACACCTCTGGACTCAGCCCCTCAGCCACTCTCAGGCCACTCACTGCACTCTCAGGCCACCTGGACCTGCTCAGCTGCTCTCAGAGTGTAGAATGGGAAGGAGCATCAAAGGTTTCACAAAAGGGTTGTGTCCAACAGCAGCCACAGCTCTCTCCTCTCAATGCCAGGCTGAGTCATTGGCACAGAGCAGACACAGAACTCAGCCAAGCACCATTTCCTCAAGGGAAACACTCCAAGTGAAGTGGCCTCAGCTCTGGGCACTTGCCACATCTCAAGGCCCCAAAGGCCTGGCTCACCCCTCCCCTGTTGCCGCTCCCATTTTCATGAAGGGCAAATTCTTTCTGAAAAGTTTGATGGGGTTCCAACACTGGTGAATGATGGAAGAGCAACTGATATCATGTACGTGGACTTGTGCAAAGCATTTCTTCCTGTGGCAGAAAACATGCTTATCTCTGACCTGGAGAGATGTGGAGTTGATAGCTGGAACATCACCTGTGGGGTGGAAAATGGACAGGATGGTCTCACTCACAGAGTTGTGGTCAGTAGCTCCATGTCTGTGAGGGGAACAGGGATGAGTGGTGACCTGCAGAAGCTCGTATTGGGAACATTATCACTTCCTATTTTGTCAGGCACAGGGAACTGAGTGTCCCCTCAGCAAGAATGGGAATGACATCAAGGTGAGCATTGTGCTTGATTGTCTGGAGGGAAGGGAGAGCATCCAGAGAGCTCTTGACAGGCTGGGGTGGTGTGATTGTTATGAAGGTGAACAGGATGAAGTGCAGCATCCTAAATCTGAATTCTGACCCTCTGATCTGCTCTACTGGGACTGGAGTTCTGTGCTCAGCTCTGGGGCCTCAAGGGTAAGGACCTGCTCGTGTGGATCTGTATAAGGGCTAAAGAGACAGTGAGGGACTGGACCAACAGCTGTGTAGCCAATGTACAAACGTGGCCCAGAAGAAGCTTGTGTCACAGGTAGGGATAGATCTGCCTTGGAGTATCCAGGCGTAGGATCACACAAGTGAAGGGTTTGTGGTATCCAAGGGAAGAGCAAACTGTGCCAGTGTGTGCCCGTGAAGGAAAAGGAGACATAACAACGCTGCAATGCAAGAGAATTTTATTGAGGCAAAAAAAGAGTGAGAGGTCATGAGTGGCAAGAGGAAAGGAGCTGGTCTGAGGTGCAAGTAGGGCGACCATCAGCTGAGCTCCTTTGCTTGCTGGTGGTTCAGTCAGAGCATCAAGGCCTTCCTGTTCCACAATAGAAGCAACCTGATAGTGAAGATTCCCAATGGTCTCTGGCTTGGGAGAAGAGATTTGCAGCAGAGGGAGCTGGACAGAGCTGAGAGGGAGTGAGAGAAGAGGAGGAGGCAGATGGGCCATGTTTGCAGGCAGTGTGGGCTGGGCCCTTGGCTGCTGCCTTGCTTGGTGCCCTGAGAGCAGGAGCTGGAAGTGCTGAGCCAGTTGACAGCTTTGGCCCAGAAAGGCGTCTGCAACACCTGGGGTGTGTTCCAAGGAGTGGGTGGTTGGTGTCAGGGGTGGTGCTGAGAGACCTTAACAGTTGTAGCCATAGCCCCTTCTGCCATAGCAGCCCAGGCCTCCCAGCCCATAGCCATACCCACAGCCATAGCCCAGCCCATAGCCAAATCCACGGCCATAGCCAAGGCCGTAGCCAAAGCCACCAAATCCGCCAGAGATGGGCTGTCCCTGCACACTGAGCTCAGTGCCCACGGCAGCCGAGGAGGTGGATCCGACGGCGGTGTTCTGGGGGAAGGAGGTCATGATGGGTCCTGGCAGGGTGACCAGCACAGGGGAAGGGTCGATGATGACGTGGGAATCCTGGCATTGCAGGGCACAGGGCTCGTTGCAGCTGTTGGCCAGCGGGGTGGGTCCGCAGGGACTGCAGCGGTCGTAGCAGGCCATGGGTGTGGTGTGGAGGGTCCTGGAAGAGAGAGGGTGAGGCAGGGCAGGGGCACGGGGGTGCACAAGGGGTGAGGGAGTGTGGAGGCTGTTGTGGGGCTGTGGGGAGGAGCGAGGGCTGCTGAGGCTGTGGCTGACCGTGCTGGAAGAGAGGGGCCAAGGTGGGGAGAAGCAGGAGGGTCAGGGGACTGAGACTCACCTGGTTGTCCTGAGGAGCAGGAGGAGAAGGCTTGAGGAGAAGTGTGTGAGGGAGAGAGACTCTGGGCTGGCTTTTATGCTGATTCTGGAGGGGCAGAACAGCCTTGTCCCATGGCCTTGGGGCATTTTTTAACCAGCAGCTGTTGCCTGGCCCAGCTTGATGAGTCATGAGGTGGGGGGTATTTTTATTCATAGACTTCTGCAGTGTCATGATTGGTTCTTGAGTCTGTGTCCATCTGACCTTGACAGCAGCTTTGAAGTGAGAGATGGTATTTGGGTGGATTTGATTGTTCCATGTGAGTCAGGGAGTGCTGAATAAACAACCAGAGCCCAGCAGAGCTGCGATATCATCAGTGATGTCATTTTGTGGCACTCGTGTGCTGTGGTTTGTGGGTGCCTTTTGAAGACTGGGACTCTTCTTTGTGCCACTGGATGTCCATCAGTCACTGTGTTGCACCCAGGAATGCTGAGGGAGCTGATGATGTCCTGGGAAGGTCACTCTGCAATAACATGGAAATATTATCATGAATTAGGAGTGTTCCTACAGATTAAAGAGATCTCATGGCCTTGTGTCTTGAACTGAATCAAGAGAGAACATCTGGAAAAGCAGAGGCTGGTCTGGTTGAACTTGTTCTGGTGTCATGGTCCATTTGGACTTCTCATCTTTACTTGACATTGTACTCTGTCATTTAAAGCATATTCCCTGACCTCATTAAGAAATCCATTAAACAATCCAGCTTGATCCTTTTTTTCCCAGGCTGGCCTGTGATGTTCTTGCCTTTAATCCGCATTCATCCCATAACTTTTCATATCTCATATCCTTTTATTCTTAATAATCTGTTCCTGCTAGAAAAACCCAGTAATTACTGATGGTTGGTCAGCACAGTCGTCTTCTCTCTTATGTCATGGTGTGGGCATTCCTTTGTGGAATTCTGCAGCTCCATGTCTTTCTTTTGAGGCATGTCCACCTGACCTTGGTGGCAGATTTTAAGTGTCTTAGAGGTTAAGGGCAGGTGTTGATGCCATGTGTCATGGTGGGCTGGAGACATGTCCAAAGCCTTGGAGAGATGAGGCGTCATCAGTGAGGTCACCCCAAGGCACTGGTGTGTCCTGGTTTTTGGGTGCATTGTTGTCACAGACATATTTTCTGAAAAATCCTCTTGCTAGCATCTTTTCTCCTGAGTAGCTGGGAAGCTTCAGCTTCTCCATGTTTTGCTACTTTGGGATGTGATTTGGAAAATTGTTAACCCAGCATGTGACGTGTTTTTAATTAATGGCCAATCACAGGTCCAGCTGTGTCGGGATTGTGGTCGGTCACAAGATTTTATTATTCATTCCTTTCTAGCTTTCTGAGGTCTTCTCTCTCTCTTTCTTTAGTATAGTCTAATATATAATTTTCTTTTAATATAATATATATAATAAAATAATAAATCAGCCTTCTGAAACATGGAGTCAAGATTCTCATCTCTTCCCTCGTCCTGGGGACCCTCAAACACTGCCACACATTGTGAAGGGGGGGCCCAAGGCATCACAGCTCTGCCAGGATTGTCTGGCTTTGCAGGAGCACTGCTTGTGAGGAAATGACCTTTCTCTCCATCCCCACCATGTTGCCAACATTCAGAGCCTGTCTATATTCCCAGCCTTTCCTGCTGGAGATGGGAAATCAATCCCTGTGATTCAGGATGGCCTCCCATGCTGCACAAAGTCTTGAGTTGGTTCATCCACAGCGCTCGTCTCAGCTGTGACCAGCAAGGTCACACTGTGGGGTCCCAGTGCTAGACTGTGCCTGACCCATGGAAAGGAAAAATGCTGAAGGATAAGGAGAACAAGACACATGAGGAGCACAGTTCCCCATCCTTTGATTAATCCACCCTTGAAACCCATGTGCCTGAGCTTCGGAAAGGTTGAGGGAGTGGACTGTCCTGGTCCCCAGCACTGGTAGGGATCCCTGGTGGAAGAAGGATGTGGACATGGTTGACTGAGAGTGCTGCAGGGACACCATGACATGGACAGGATTGGAGTATCCTCAAAATAAGGACAAGGGGAGAAATCCGGGAGTTCTTTCAGGCAGGACACAAGAATGCAAACAGGAGATGTCATCAATACGCCATGGAATGACCTTACTGACAACACCCCAATTACCCTAAGATTCTTCTGAGTATCTTAGATGTCCTAACACACACCATAAACAATGAGATAATGGACATCAATTCTCGCAGTTAAGATGTTCTGCCAAGGTCAGATGGACACAGCCTCAAGGGAAGAACACAGAATTGCAGAACTACAGAAAGGAAACCACTCCCCACCTCATGACTCACCAAGCTAGGGCAGCCAAGAGCTGCTGCCTCAAAAATGCCCCAAGGCCATGGGGCAAGGCTGTCCCGCCCCTCCAGGACCAGCATAAAAGCCAGCCCAGAGCCTCTCTCCCTCACACACTTCTCCTCAAGCCTTCTCCTCCTGCTAAAAACCAGGTGAGCCTCCATCCCCTGACCCTCCTGCTCCTGCACCCCTGGCCCCTCTCTTCCAGCACGCTCAGTCCCAACCTCAGCAGCCCTCACTCCTCCCCCAGCCCCAAAAAAGCCTCTAAATGCCAGGCACACACCCATACGCCCCATCACAACCCCCAAACCTCCATGACCCTGCCTCACCCCCCTCTTTTCCAGGCACCCTCCACACCACACCCATGGCCTGCTACAACCGCTGCAGTCCCTGCGGACCCACCCCGCTGGCCAACAGCTGCAACGAGCCCTGTGCCCTGCAATGCCAGGATTCCCGCGTCATCATCAACCCTTCCCCTGTGCTGGTCACCCTGCCAGGACCCATCATGACCTCCTTCCCCCAGAACACCGCCGTCGGATCCACCTCCTCGGCTGCCGTGGGCACTGAGCTCAATGCCCAGGGACAGCCCATCTCTGGCGGATTTGGCTTTGGCCTTGGCTACGGCCTTGGCTATGGCCGTGGGTTTGGCTATGGCTGTGGATTTGGCTACGGGCAGGGCTATGGCTACGGCCTGGGCTGCTATGGCAGGAGGGGCTATGGCTACAACTGCTAAGGGCCCTCAGCACCACCCCTGACGCCACCAGCTCAGACCTCTGCCAACAGATCCTACAAGCCAAGCACCTTGGCTGATCGTTCTCTGACTAGCTCCTCATACCAGATTCCATCTCCTGTGTTCTCCTGTCTCTTCATTCTTGTGCCTCAATAAAGTTTTCCTGCATCAAAGCCTGATACGCCTCCTGTTCTTCTGGAATTCCAGTGGTCTCACATCCTTACCAAGCACATTCCAGGCCTCAACAGGCATTTGGGGTAGGTGCAACAACTCCTTCCCTCACAAATATGTAAATACGACTAATAAAAATGACTGGCATAGGAAGCACAGGAGGGGACACCTTCAAGATCATGAACAAACCCATCATCGGAGACACCAAAGCCTTGCACACATCCATGCTCTCCTCGGTACAGCCCTGGACCAGTCCCTCTGTGTAAGAATACTCTTGGCAAACTCTCTTCCCCACCAGGACTCTTGAATCCTTCCAGCAATGAGAGTCCCCAAATCCTCCATTTGGGCAGGAAATCTGGAATGCAAGAGCTTCAACTTCCATGCTCCAGCAAGACCAACATGGGCAGGATTCCCAGCACCATGGGCAGTTCAGTATTGCATCTCCCAGGTCCAACCGTGCAACCCCTTTTCCACTCTGTGACCACATTCAAAATGAGAAATTCTTGCCTTCTTTAGCAATTGCATTCCATCCGGTTTCCCTTTGCCTTTGCCCTCTTGTCCTGCACGTGGGCACTGCTGAGAACAGTCAGGCTCCCTCGCCTTCATCCTCTGCCATCAGGGATTTGCACACACTCAGAACACCCCCCTGTCCACCCACGTCCTCTGGGAGTCCCAGCTCTCTCAGTTTCTCATCCTGGAATTATTCTGCAACCCTTTTGGAATCTTGCTGGTTCTGAACTGGTCACTATTCACTAACTCACTAAGTTGACGTCATTTTCACACTGGGGAGACTCAAATTGCGCACCACACCTCACATGGGACCTCACCAGTGCTCAGGAGACACCAAGAGTCTCCTCATCACATCATCTCCCTGCACCATCACAACAATTCTCCCCAGTCCTGATCTGGAGACTGGAGGTGCCTTTTCCCACAACGATACAGGGACACCTCCTGCCCCATTCCCTCTCACCCACAATCACTCTGAAAGGCATTTTCAGAGACAAAAACAATTGTTCCAAAGGACACACAGATATTTCTTCCTACCTGGTATGACTCCTCCCATGAAAAAGCACTTGGCAGCTGTCCTTGCTGAAGTCCAGCAGATGTCCAGAACTCAGAAAGATTTCAGTGTTGGCCCGGGGCTCAGCACTGGGGACTTGCTGCCATCTGGACTTTGGGACACTGACCACAAGCCACTGGCCCCAGCCCTTAAGACTCTTCTGAGTCCACTGCCCTGGGCACAGACACAACCTGGACTCACCTGGGTTGTTGAGCATCATGCAATTCTTGTCTCCAACAACCCTGGTAGACCCCCAAATCCTCATTCAGACAATCACTGTTGGCCCCAGCCTTTGGCACTCTGCTCTAGGGAAGACCGAAAATATCAAAACCTCTGAGGCTGGACTATCACCCAAGCACCCACTGAGCATGTTCAAATTGAAAGGTGAGGTCTGAGGTCAGCATTTGCCAACTGGGATCAATGCATGGAGGGATGGAAGGCAATGGAAGGTGCAACACCTCCTCCTTGGCACAGCTGCACAGCCCAGACCTGCCTATCAGAACTGTGAGGAATTGGGGGGCATTTTTCAGAAGGCACCCACAAAGCACAGCACACGAGGGCACTGGGGTGACCACAGTGATGACACGCCACCTCTCCAAAGCTTGGGTCACGTCTTCAGCCCTCCCTGACATGAACCACCAACAGAAAAATTTGACCTCTTCATAGTCGCAATTAAAAGTTACTGCCACAGATGGACAGGGCCTCGGGAGCTGGATATGGAATTGCACAATTCCACAAAGACGCACACCCACCTTGGCAGGGAAGGACAGAGGAGCTCACTGATGCTCCATTAGTAATTATTTGCTTACAGGAACACAATGTGAACAATTACAGGTCAGGAGTGATGAAACTTGTGGCTTGAATGCGGAATAAGCTAATTGATGTGACAGAGAGCCTGGGAAAAAAGGGATCAAGCCCAGTTTGTTGTTTCCTTAATGGATTTCTTGACAAGGTCAAGGAATATTGTTTAAATGGCAGAGGACATTGTCATGTGAATTGGAGAAATCCAAATGGATCATAATGGAATATGTTCAGCCTGAACAGCCTCTCATTTTAAACGTCCTCTCTCTTGACCCCATTCAAGACAAAAGGCCATGAGTTCTCTTTCATCTATCATGAAAGGCTTGCAGGCATTGGGTTCTTGCCAAGCTATTACAGAGTGACCGCCCCAGGACATCAGCAGCTCCCTCAGCATTCCTGGGTGCAGCACAATGACTGATGGACATCCAGTGTCATGGAACAGAGTCCCAGTCTTCACAAGGAAGCCGCAAACCACAGAACACGAGTGCCGCAAAATGACATCACTGATGACATTGTAGATCTTCAGGGCTTTGGTTGTTCATTCACACCTCCCTGACATGCATGGAACAATCAAATCTGCCCAAATACCAATTTATTAAAGCTGCTGCCAAGGTCAAATGGACACAGCATCAAGAGCAGGACATGGAATTACAGAATGGCATGAAGGAAAACACTCCTCACCTCATGACTCACCAGGCTGGGCCAGCCAAGAGCTGATGTCTCAAAAATGCCCCAAGGCCATGGGACAAGGCTGTCCCGCCCCTCCAGGAACAGCATAAAAGCCAGCCCAGAGCCTCTCTCCCTCACACATATCTTCTCACACCTCCTGCTTCTTCCAAGAACCAGGTGAGTCTCAAGCCCCTGACCCTCCTGCTCCTGCACCCCTGGCCCCTCTCTGACAGCACCCTCTGCGCCAGCCTCAGCAGCCCTCACGCCGCCCCACAGCCCCACAACAGCCTCCTCACTCCCTCACCCTCCTGCATCCCTGCCCATCACCACACCTGCCCTGCCTCACCCCCCTCTTTTCCAGGCACCCTCCACACCACACCCATGGCCTGCTACGACCGCTGCAGTCCCTGTGGACCCACCCCGCTGGCCAACAGCTGCAACGAGCCCTGTGCCCTGCAATGCCAGGATTCCCGCGTCATCATCAACCCTTCCCCTGTGCTGGTCACCCTGCCAGGACCCATCATGACCTCCTTCCCCCAGAACACCGCCGTCGGATCCACCTCCTCGGCTGCCGTGGGCACTGAGCTCAATGCCCAGGGACAGCCCATCTCTGGCGGATTTGGCTTTGGCCTTGGCTACGGCCTTGGCTATGGCCGTGGGTTTGGCTATGGCTGTGGATTTGGCTACGGGCAGGGCTATGGCTACGGCCTGGGCTGCTATGGCAGGAGGGGCTATGGCTACAACTGCTAAGGGCCCTCAGCACCACCCCTGACACCACCAGCTCAGACCTCTGGCAACAGATCCTACAAGCCAAGCACCTTGGCTGATGGTTCTCTGACTAGCTCCTCGTAGCAGATTCCATCTCCTGTGTTCTCCTGTCTCTTCATTCTTGTGACTCAATAAAGTTTTCCTGCATCAAAGCCTGATACGCCTCCTGTTCTTCTGGAATTCCAGTGGTCTCACATCCTTACCAAGCACATTCCAGGCCTCAACAGGCATTTGGGGTAGGTGCAACAACTCCTTCCCTCACAAATATGTAAATACGACTAATAAAAATGTCTGGCATAGGAAGCACAGGAGGGAACACCTTCAAGATCCTGAACAAACCCATCATCTGAGAGACCAAAGCCTTGCACACATCCATGCTCTCCTGGGTACAGCCTGGACCAGTCCCTCTGACCGGCACAATCTTGGCAAACTCTCTTCCTCACCAGGACTCTTGAACCCTTCCAGCAATAGGAGTCCCAAAATCCTCCATTTAGGCAAGAAATCTGGAGTGCAAGAGCTTCAACTTCCCTTCTCCAACAAGACCAACATGGGATGGATTCCCAGCACCATGGGCAGTTCAGAATTGGATCTCCCAGGGCCAACCGTCCAACACCTTTTCCACTCTGTGCCCACTCTCAATACAAGAACTTCTTGCCTTCTTTAGCAATTGCATTCCATCCGGTTTCCCTTTGCCTTTGCCCTCTTGTCCTGCACGTGGGCACTGCTGAGAACAGTCAGGCTCCCTCGCCTTCATCCTCTGCCATCAGGGATTTGCACACACTCAGAACACCCCCCTGTCCACCCACGTCCTCTGGGAGTCCCAGCTCTCTCAGTTTCTCATCCTGGAATTATTCTGCAACCCTTTTGGAATCTTGCTGGTTCTGAACTGGTCACTATTCACTAACTCACTAAGCTGACTTCATTTTCACACTGGGGAGACTCAAATTGCGCACCACACCTCACATGGGACCTCACCAGTGCTCAGGAGACACCAAGAGTCTCCTCATCACATCATCTCCCTGCACCATCACAACAATTCTCCCCAGTCCTGATCGGGAGACTGGAGGTGCCTTTCCCACAATGATACAGGGACACCTCCTGCCCCATTCCTTCTAACCCACAATCACTCTGAAAGGCATTTTCAGAAACAAAAACAATTGTTCCAAGTGACACACAGATATTTCTTCCTACCTGGTAGGACTCCTGACATGAAAAAGCACTTGGCAGCTGCCCTTGCTGAAGTCCAGCAGATGTCCAGAACTCAGAAAGATTTCAGTGTTGGCCCGGGGCTCAGCACTGGGGACTTGCTGCCATCTGGACTTTGGGACACTGACCACAAGCCACTGGCCCCAGCCCTTAAGACTCTTCTGAGTCCACTGCCCTGGGCACAGACACAACCTGGACTCACCTGGGTTGTTGAGCATCATGCAATTCTTGTCTCCCACAACCCTGGTCCACCTCCAAATCCGCATTCTGATAATCACAAGTGGCCTTAGCCTTTGGCACTCTGCTCTAGGAATGACCGAAAGTATCAAAACCTCTGAGGCTGGACTATCACCCAAGCACCCACTGAGCATGTTCAAATTGAACGGTGAGGTCTGAGGTCAGCATTTGCCAACTGGGATCAATGCATGGAGGGATGGAAGGCAATGGAAGGTGCAACACCTCCTCCTTGGCACAGCTGCACAGCCCAGACCAGCCTACCAGAAATGTGAAAAATTGGGGGTCATTTTTCAGAAGGCACCCACAAACCACAGCACACGAGGGCCGTGGGGTGACCACAGTGATGACACCCCACCTCTCCAAAGCTTGGGTCACATCTTAAGCCCTCCCTGACATGAACCACCAACAGAAAAATTTGACCTCTTCATAGTCGCAATTAAAACTTACTGCCACAGATGGACAGGGCCTCAGGAGCTGGATATGGAATTGCACAATTGCACAAAGACGCACACCCACCTTGGCAGGGAAGGACAGAGGAGCTCACGGATGTTCCATTAGTAATTATTTCCTTACAGGAACACAATGTGAACAATTACCGGTCATGAGTGATGAAACTTGGGGCTTGAATGCGGAATAAGCTAATTGATGTGACAGAGCGCCTGGGAAAAAAGGGATCAAGCCCAGTTTGTTGTTCCCTTAATGGATTTCTTAACAAGGTCAAGGAATACCATTTAAATGGCAGAGGACATTGTCATGTGAATTGGAGAAATCCAAATGGATCATAATATTGGAATATGTTCAGCCTGAACAGCCTCTCCTTTTAAATGTCCTCTCTCTTGATCCCATTCAAGACAAAAGGCCATGAGTTCGCTTTCATCTATCATGAAAGGCTTGCAGGCATTGGGTTCTTGCCAAACTATTGCAGAGTGACTGCCCCAGGACATCAGCAGCTCCCTCAGCATTCCTGGGTGCAGCACAATGACTGATGGACATGCAGTGTCATGGAACAGAGTCCCAGTCTTCACAAGGCACCCGCAAACCACAGAACACGAGTGCCAAAAAATGACATCACTGATGACATTGTAGATCTTCAGGGCTTGGGTTGTTCATTCACACCTCCCAGACATGCATGGAACAATCAAATCTGCCCAAATACCAATTTATTAAAGCTGCTGCCAAGGTCAAATGGACACAGCATCAAGAGCAGGACATGGAATTACAGAATGGCATGAAGGAAAACAATCCCCACCTCACGACTCACCAGGCTGGGCCAGCCAAGAGCTGCTGTCTCAAAATGCCCCAAGGCCATGGGACAAAGCTGTCCCGCCCCTCCAGGACCAGCATAAAAGCCGGCCCAGAGCCTCTCTCCCTCACACACTTCTCCTCAAGCCTTCTCCTCCTGCTCCTGAGGACAACCAGGTAAGCCTCAATCCCCTGACCCTCCTGCTTCTCCCCCCCTTGGCCCCTCTCTTCCAGCACACTCAGCCCCAGCCGCTGCAGCCCTCACACCTCCCCACAGCCCCACAACAGCCTCCACACTCACTCACCCCTTGTGCATCCCCATACCCCTGCCCTGCCTCACACTTTTTCTCTTCCAGGCACCCTCCACACCACACCCATGGCCTGCTACGACCGCTGCAGTCCCTGCGGACCCACCCCGCTGGCCAACAGCTGCAACGAGCCCTGTGCCCTGCAATGCCAGGATTCCCGCGTCATCATCAACCCTTCCCCTGTGCTGGTCACCCTGCCAGGACCCATCATGACCTCCTTCCCCCAGAACACCGCCGTCGGATCCACCTCCTCCGCTGCCGTGGGCACTGAGCTCAATGCCCAGGGACAGCCCATCTCTGGCGGATTTGGTGGCTTTGGTGGCTTTGGCTACGGCCTTGGCTATGGCCGTGGGTTTGGCTACGGGCAGGGCTATGGATATGGCCTGGGCTGCTATGGCAGAAGGGGCTATGGCTACAACTGCTAGGGGACCTCAACGCCACTCCTGAAACCACCAGCTCTGGCCTCTGGCAACAGCTCCTGCAAGGAAAGAACCTTGGCTGGTGTTTGTCCTACTTGCACCTCGCACCAGATTCCATCTTCTCTTTCCCCTGGCTCTTCATTCTTGTTCCTCAATAAAGTTTTCCTGCATCAAAGCCTGATATGTCTCCTGTTCTTCTGGAATTCCAGTGGTCTCACATCCTTACCAAGCACATTCCAGGCCTCAACAGGCATTTGGGTTAGGTGCAAAAAATCCTTCCCTCAAAAATATGTAAATACAACTAATAAAAATGTCTGGCATAGGAAGCACAGGAGGGAACACCTTCAAGATCACGAACAAACCCATCATCTGAGAGACCAAAGCCTTGGACACATCCATGCTCTCCTCGGTACCAGCCCTGGACCAGTCCCTCTGACCGGCACAATCTTGGCAAACTCTCTTCCTCACCAGGACTCTTGAACCCTTCCAGCAATAGGAGTCCCAAAATCCTCCATTTAGGCAAGAAATCTGGAGTGCAAGAGCTTCAACTTCCCTTCTCCAACAAGACCAACATGGGATGGATTCCCAGCACCATGGGCAGTTCAGAATTGGATCTCCCAGGGCCAACCGTCCAACACCTTTTCCACTCTGTGCCCACTCTCAATACAAGAACTTCTTGCCTTCTTTAGCAATTGCATTCCATCTGGTTTCCCTTTGCCTTTGCCCTCCTGCCCTGCACGTGGGCACTGCTGAGAACAGTCAGGCTCCCTCGCCTTCATCCTCTGCCATCAGGGATTTCCACACACTCAGAACACCCCCATGTCCACCCTCGTCCCCTGCGACTCCCAGCCCTCCCAGTTTCCCATCCAGGAATTATTCAGCAACCCTTTTGGAATCTTGCTGGTTCTGAACTGGTCACTATTCACTAACTCACTAAGCTGACTTCATTTTCACACTGGGGAGACTCAAATTGCACACCACACCTCACATGGGACCTCACCAGTGCTCAGGAGACACCAAGAGTCTCCTCATCACATCATCTCCCTGCACCATCACAACAATTCTCCCCCATCCTGATATGGAGACTGGAGGTGCCTTTTCCCACAACGATACAGGGACACCTCCTGCCCCATTCCTTCTCACCCACAATCACTCTGAAAGGCGTTTTCAGAGACAAAAACAATTGTTCCAAGTGACACACAGATATTTCTTCCTACCTGGTATGACTCCTCCCATGAAAAAGCACTTGGCAGCTGCCCTTGCTGAGGTCCAGCAGATGTCCAGAACCCAGACAGTTTTCAGTGTTGGCCTGGGGCTCAGCACTGGGGACTTCCTGCCCTATGGACTTTGGGACACTGACCACAAGCCACTGGCCCCAGCCCTTAAGACTCTTCTGAGTCCACTGCCCTGGGCACAGACACAACCTGGACTCACCTGGGTTGTTGAGGATCATGCAATTCTTGTCTCCAACAACCCTGGTCCACCTCCAAATCCGCATTCTGACAATCACAAGTGGCCCCAGCCTTTGGCACTCTGCTCTAGGAATGACCGAAAATATCAAAACCTCTGA